ATACTCTCTCTCTCTCTCTCTCTCCCCTCCTCTCTCTCTCCATTTCTCTCTTCCTTAATATCTTTAATAAAAAGAAAAAGTTCAAAGAAATCATAAATTAAATGTTTTTATTTTTTAAATTAATAAGAATTTATAGATTAGTAAAAAAAATTGTATATTTCATTTTTCTTTTTCACTTTTTTCCTTTAAATCTTACCGTACCACATTAAAGAATACTTTACTTAATAATGCAGGTGTTACCATTTATATGATAACCTTTGATTAAAATATCTTTATATGCTTACATATCATTATATATGTGATAATTTGTAGTTAAAATAATATCTTTATGTTTATGTTTTATCATTTATATGATAACTTATAATCGGAATATCACTATGCTTGCATATTATCATTTATAGCTTATGATTAAGATATCCATATGATAACATACTATCATTCATATGATAACCTATGGTTTAAATACTTTTATACTTATGTGTGATAACACATAAGTATAAAAGTATAAAAGTGATAACACATGTGTGATAACATTCATATCGATAACCTTGATAATCTATAATTTAAATATTTCTTGCATTTATATGTTATCAATCATGTGATAACCTATGATTTAAATATTTTTGCATTCGTTTGTTATCATTCATACAATAACCTATGGTTTATTTTTGTACTTGTATCACTCATATGATAACCTATGATTTTGAATATTTTTATATCCATATGTTATCACTCATATGATAACCTATGATTTTGAATATTTTTATATCCATATGTTATCACTCATATGATAACCTATGATTTTGAATATTTTTATATCCATATGTTATCACTCATATGACAACCTATGATTTTAAATATTTTTGTCCTTGTATTGTTATCACTCATATGATAACCTATGATTTTGAATATTTTTATACCCATATGTTATCACTCATATGATAACCTATGATTTTAAACATTTTTGTACCTCTATTTTATCACTCATATGATAACCTATGATTTAAATATTTTTATACTTCTGTATTATCAATGCATATGATAACCTGTGATTAAAATATTTTTATGCTTACTTGCTGATAAGGAGAAGTGCGTATATAATCATATACAAACATATATATATATATATATATATATGTATATATATGTTTGTATATGATTAATGCCCATTTTAAACGTATACGTATCATACATCTTGTTATCGTTAAAAAGCACGGAACAATCCGATATGAATATTCAATTATCAGGGAGACAAATGATGAAAAGAAACCTTCGGTCTTTTTTTTTTTTTTTTTGATAATCGAAAATATATTGCTTCTTTCAATTTAGCTAACACTTTTTATGCTTTAGCATTATCTATTTATTCATCAATCATTTAATAAAAACAAAAAAAAAAAAAGAAAAAAAAAGGAAAGAGAATTTGAAGTAGGAAAAATACAAATAAAATGGTTAAGTTAAAATAGATAGAATAGATTGAAAGTAATAAGTAATGTATAGGTTAAGAAGGATAGGTTAAATAAAAATAGGAATGATAAGTAAAAGTATAGTGATTAAAGTATATGAAAAAGAATGTAAGATGAGAGGCAAAATATTAGGTGAAAAAGATTGAAAATAAAATCGTACAAATGCAAAATAATTGCATTTCTATTTATATTTAATATAATTTTTTTTTTGTAATTTAAAAATTTTTAATATATATTTTTATTGTATTAAAATTTAAATATTTGCGTTTTTTTTTTTTTTTTTTCTTAATCTTTTCCATTATATTTCTTCTACTCTTTTTTCCATTCTCTTGTTTCTTCCTGTGTTTTTTCTTTCTCTCTCTCTCTCTTTCTCCTTTGTTTTTTTTCTTGTTATCATTTTGTTATCATAAACAAAGTAGAAAAAGAAGAATTCATTTCACTAAATAATGATGAAAAATGATAATTGCTAGACAATTTGCACATGTTTAACATATATCACTAATTAATACATATTGATTGATTACAAATTAAATAATTTTATCTTTCGTATGAGAGAAAAAAGAAGAAAAGAGAGGTGGACAAAGAGATGGAGAGAGAGAGAGAGAGAGAGGGAGGAGTAAGTTTAAATTTTAATGCTTATGAAGAAAT